CCCCAAGAGACCCTCCCGCCCGTCCAAGTCCCCACCTGCGACCAGTGCAAAGACCAATTCGAGCACTGCCTTCGTGTAAGTTCGATTCCCTTTCCCCAATCCCCCCACAATTCCCCGAGAAGTATTGAATTAATACGAGCGACAATACTAGTCTTGGCCCTGCTGGTTCAACCCAGCTACCTGCGATACTACTTGCCGTGCTGAGACTTGCAAGGCGAGCTTCTACTTCTGCCGGGATAAGTGTGGGTGGAAGTGTCCTTGAGGCTGGGTTTGGGGTATGCGAGGACGCTGGGAAGAGGTTGTTCTTAGAGATGGAATTGGGACCGCGGTTGTGAGGCAAAGGTTCAGTCGTAGATGATCGTCTGTGGTAGGCGACGTGTGGCGATGGAGTGACCGAGTGATATGGGTATGGTTCAGATCTTAGTCTTGATGAAAGGATAGCTGCTAGATCTGTATCGAGGAATAAAACCAAGTCTTGTCAGTGAAATGAAACCGTTGAGTGGTAGTCTGTGCCAAACCCGATAACGAAATCCTACCATATACACCGCCCGCTCATACCTGTTCCACTGCCCAGAGTCAAACTTACTCACAAAATCGCTCATGAATATCGAACTCGAAGCCAGGAAACATCGAAGCAAAAACAGTCTCAGTCGTCGCATGTACCCAACGCAGATCACCCCCAGCCAAGCCCAAGCCTCAAGACCGAATACGAAGATTGACCTGCAGCGCCAACAAAGCTAGGCTTCTCGCGGCCCGCAGATGATCACCAGCTAAACCGCATACCCCCATGGGTGTTGTCTCCGTCCGCCTTGGACTCTCTTGAAAGTTGTACACGCCCGTCTTGGCTGCTAATATGAATTGGCGGGTTGCGCTCCTCTTGGGCGGGTGATGTAGTGTCCAAGACTTGTCTAGTTGTATAAGTAGAGTTTTGGTGCATTGGACCCGCTGGTGATGTCAATTTGGAGGGTAGAGGGGTGGTATTTAGGGTGCTTGGTTTCCGGGTTGACGTGTTCATAGTTGTTTACTTTGTTCGGTTAGAATTATCATGAAGCTCTCTCTTGCTGCGCTTTCCACGCTCCTAGCGACCGCTACGACAGCATCGCCTCTTGCTCTCGAACCGCGCCAACAATGCAGTACATCCTGGAGCTATCCCTATACTGGTAGGGTAGCTCCCAGCAACTACAGGGCCTTTAACCTCGGTAGCTGCACTGCGCAACTCACCTTCAACAAAGACCGATACGTCGGAGTGCAATGGGCATTCGAAGCCACGTACGCGGACGGCAGTCGTGCTGAACTGAAGCCCTTCCGCGACTTCAACAGCTTCGGTGTCAGCGATACCTTCTACCCCTACCTTGGCAACAACTTCCTCACCAAGTACCCTGGAAACTCGGCGTTCACGGCTGTGCACGAGTTCAGCAGTGTCTGTAAGAACGGCCAGGCACCTGTCTCATGGCGGTTTTACACCACCTCTGGCACATCGAATGGGTGCTACACAACGGGGCAGATTCGCGCTGTCGGTGGTGTTTCGCGCCCGGCCAAGGCTGCAGGCGTATCTCTGCGAAGGAGCAATGATGCCGGAGACTTCCAGGTCAGCTGGTCGCCGGTATCCAGCGCGACTGCGTATTCCGTCATTGTGGAGTACCCGACCGGTACGGATGAAGTTGGCAATCCTTACACGAACGTGAGGGGTGCACGCGTACAGGTGAGTCCGTCAATCGTCTTCGAAGGGCGATACTGATAGTCATGCCAGGGAACCTCGACGCAGATTGCGACTACCACGCGTAGACAGGATGTGGCGAGGAAGGCGATTGTTCATGCTGTCAACTCTCAGGGCGTGTGGTCGTTCACGAGCGATGTGCAGCCAGTGGTAGCAAACTGGTAGACAATGGTGTACAACGTAAGGTCAGCCTTGGGATGGATGTGAATAGGACACATAGGGAGTCAGCGAGTCTTGCGTCGCAAATGTATCTCATCTCGTCCAGGAATCGCGTGCGGAAAACATTGCCCGATCTGTCGACCAGATCCCTGCTCCAGCCACGAACAGTTGTAAGGCTGTTATCGCGTTTGATATGATTCGTGAAAAAAGGACGATTGAATGTTACAGTACATCAGCAAGACAACAAAGTGCGGTGAATCCAATCAAAGTGTGTTGACACGTGAAACGGCGGCCGACCGCACTGCCACATGGCAAGCGCGCCCGCTCTGGAAGAGCCGAGGCCAAAGCGCCAGGGTCGCGCGACAACGAATGCCATCTCCACACGGCTCCGCATTGTCATCGCATCATGCACGCCGTCCGCCATCCATTGCGCCGCTGTACTTTACCTTGTCTTTTGCTCCTGCCTGGCTGAATACCTTGTGCCTGCTCTTGAGGCACTCTCGCGCACCGCCACACCAATCAATGCGCCGCTCCCCGTTTATGGGGGCGCGATATCCACGCTCGTAATGTCGGACTCGGTTGGTAGGTTTGTCTGGGGTGAGATGGGATGGAAGGAACTTTTGCTGACAACAAGGCATATAGATCGAGTCTTTAGCCATGCGCTCAATACCGTCAACAAGATACGGACGGGGTCGCAGAAACCGCCGTCTGCGACCAGGTTACGCTTGTATGGGCTGTATAAGCAGGCCATGGGTACGTTGCCTCGAGGGAAATGATGCGGAGGGGGACTGTGCTACGACCAGAGCTGACCAAAACAGAGGGCGATGTCGACGGTATAATGGAATGTCCAAGAGGCAATGATGACCAGTCGCAACGAGCACGGGAGAAATGGTATGTCACTTGGCGCATAGCACCATTCAAGTCCCTCTCATGGAATGCATACATGAGCAGGAACTAACACTCTCAGGGACGCTTGGAAACAGCAGAACGGCCTCTCCCGCACCGAAGCCAAACGCCGCTATATCACCACCCTCATCGACACCATGCACAAGTACGCCTCCCCCTCGCCCGACTCCCGAGAACTAGTCGCCGAGCTAGAATTCGTCTGGGACCAAGTGAAATCCAACGTGCCCTCCTCCTCCTCCTCCTCGCCGCTACGTACCTCCGACCACATAACCCCCGGCTACTCCCAGCACGAACTCGGCCAAAGCGGCCGCGCAGCCATGAACAGCAGCAACGACATGGACCGCCCTCAAAACGAACCCGAACGCCGCGCCGTGCCCCTCCGCGTAAAATCACCAATGTCGCAATCCGAAGAAGAGCTCGAGGAAGAAGAAGCGGAAATCGAGCGTGAAGGCGAGGTCTTCGTCGACGCCCCAGACAGCCAATATAACCCTACATCCTACCCCGACGACGACGACAACGCCCCCGAACTCGAAGACGCAGGCGTACAAACCGATTTACAGCAGTTGATCCGCGCAGAACCTATACCTATCCAGACGCCCACGCCCGCGCCACGGAATCGCGGCATGGGCGTCCTGGGCAAACCGATTCAAATGCCCATACCAGGTTTCGGCAGCACACCCGCCCCCGCTGCTGGAAACGGTGCCGCAGCAGCAGCGAAAGACAACTCCCCGAAAGAATCAGTCGCAGACCAGAAATGGCGGAAGCGCGTTGAGCAATCGCTCATGAAGATGACGGCGGAAGTCGCGGCACTACGCGAACAATTAGAAGCAAGGAGACTCTTTGCGCATTCAGTACACTATCAGCTTTTCAGGGGCGTGTGGAGATGGGTGTGGGCGTGCTTCAAGCATGTTGCTGTTGATGTGTTTATATTGGGTATAGTGCTGTTGTGGATGCGGCGGAAGAAGGATAAGAGGCTGGAAGGGGCGATACGGGTGCTGCTGGGGGATGCGGTGGCGCAGATGCAGAGGGGTGGGGGGATGGTTTTTGGGAGGGTTAGGTTACCGCTTTTAGGAGGGGGGAAGAAAGGGGGGACGGGGACGGGGACGGGGACGTGAATTTAAGATGTTATGATTGAAGGTGTTGTGCTGACTGTGGAGTCGTTGCGTGTGATCGATGGAACCTACAGCTGACGGCTCAGAACCGGACATGCACTTTGCGACCTTGCGAAACAAGAATCGCTCTACCGTCTTTAATCCATCTCGCCCATCTTCACCTTCTCTACTTCAGCCCCCCATTTTCCGATCATCTCAGGGAAACACTGCTTCAGTAGCACATCTCCATACCCCTCAAACGCCGCCTCAACGTCCTTCAAAACCTCCACGACACTCCCCTCCCCTTTGATCACACCAACAGATCCTAGTTTCACACCATCGACCTGCGGCACGCGCGGCACAGCAACGATAGCAATGTTACTAATCGTACCAACGAACATGATAAGCAGCATAACACACGCTGCGTTATCTGAGAGTTGGGTGTAAAGGAGTGCTTGGTTCAAGAAAGCACCAGCGATGAGGATAACGGGTGAGATACAAGGATTTGAGGCGTTGCTGGGTGTGTCGTGATGTGTGGTCATGCCTTCGGTCTTGGTGGATGCCGTTGAGGAGGGCTGGATGATGTAGATGCGGCTGGGTGGGGAGTCGGTGTTGCGCATGAGTGCGTACGCGCCGTTCCAATTATTCCGGGTAAAGGAAGCGTGCTTCTGAGCAGTCCAGACGGGTAGGCTGGCAGTAGCTTCGATAAGCAAGATTGATATGCTTAGTAGGAGGAGTGGTGAGAGGTCGGCGTAAAAGAACCAGAATGCGCCGGCAAGACAGAATTGGAGGATTGCGGTCATCAAGCTGCCGCTCTGGAGTAGGTTTCTGAAGGAGGCAGAGGAGGAGGGTATGCCAGTGGGCTGGAGGATTTCGACGACGACCTCGCTACCCTGATCAAAGCTGCCATCGACGCTGGGTGGAACAGAGCGAAACTCCAAGTCACGGAGCAGCTTTGCAACAGCAAAATCCTTGTTCGACCGTCTCTTCCCCGTCTTCATGTCCAAAACCTTCACATCGCACTCCGGTTCCCGCATCAAATCACCACTACCAGACGTGACTGACGACAAGAGTGACAAGCTACAAGCTAGCCACCCGAAGCCGAAACATGGAGACTCTGTCTTCGAGATCACAGTCGTAATAGCGAATGTTTTCTGAATGAGTTCAGGCCCGAGAAGTGTAAGCACGATCGCCAGAGGTGGTATACGTCCGGAGTCGCCGTCGCGATGCTCGGATCCAGGGCCAGTGGGACCGAGGTAGTAGGTTCCGACGTAAAGACCGATGTAAGCGATGAGAATTGGGAACGACATCTTGATGTTGGAGGTGCGGGGGTTGGTACTGGGGAGAACTCTGTCAGATGAGGAAGTGGCGGTGCACTTTTCGAGATCGATATTTGACATGATTTTCTTCGCGGCTTTCGAACTCTCCGAATGGTTTTGTGCCAAGTGTAATCCTGGGATCCTTGGTGAGGAGATTTCGATGGTTGGTGCGGAAAGTTGGGGTGTGCGCTCGTTCGGGGATTATCTGTAATTCGGAGAGCGAGGGTGAATTCGTGAGAGAGTGAAGGCGTTCACCCAATGTCACCCGCGATGCTGTGAATCTCTCTCCAGAACTCTTCAATCTATCGCTGGAGGTGTTCAAGTGAGAAGAGCTTTTGCGTCTTGTTGTGAGGTCAACATGATGACCAGGAAATCGCGCGATCCAATCGGGGCAGGTGCGAGGCAGGAGCAAACGACAGAGAACGCACGTGCGTTAGTGACCACTGGAAGTGATTGGACGGAGCTCACTGTGACGCAGCGGATGATTGCAGCAAATGTTTCTGAACGATTCCAGTGTCGCACTGTCACATGTCGGTGCAAGTGTGATTGCGTTCTCGCGGCGCGGCTCTATGGACAGGCTTCAGTCGCGCGAGTTTAGTGGTCGCTCGCACCAATGACAGATCCTGAATGTTTCCATCAACACCAGTTCGAAGTCTTCGTAGGCCAGCATGTCTGAGATCTCTGTGGTGAGCCTCAGAATCTAAAGACCCCTACTGTGTGACCACCCAAATTTCGCAATCCCACCACCCCAACACGACCAAAGGTCGACATTGCCGTCAAAACCGCTTTCAACGAATTTGAGTGCGCGGATTTTCGCCTGCCGCGTGCTTCCTGGATCAATCTCCTTGACAGATTTACCCGTCCAGATGTTGCTAATACGGATCACTGTGCCTTCCGTTGTGTCTTGGGCTGCCGCTAAGAGTCCGAGTCTTGGATGTACATCGATGTCCAGTTCCAGCTCGTCTCTGTTTAGGTGGGCGAAAGTCATGACTGGCTGCGACCAATTTTTGAAAGCTTTGTGGTTGAGCTTGCGGCGTTTGTGACTATCACGATGAGTCGGATACAAGGTCTTGAAGTACTCTTCATTGTAGTGATGGTTGTCGTAATTGAACGTCTTTCGCGATGAGTTTCGAGATAAGCGGGGTGCGCGAATGTCGTATAGGAAAAGCGTGTCGTTGAGCCCCGAGCATATCAATCTAGTCTCGTCGTCGGCACGCTTGAGCTTTGAGATGGGCGCTGGATGTGTCAAGACGTGACTTGAGCCCCCTGATCTTGTGTCGTATAGTCGGATAGTTCCGTCTCGACAGCCGAGCGCGACAGTAGTATACGATATCCACTCCAAGGCCAGAAGATCAGATTCAAGTGACTTGATTACAGCTTGAGAGTCCCAGGCACCTCCCTGTGAGCGAGTGAACAGTAGCATCGAACTCGAGGCTGCAACTGCGAGGTGCTCGGTCCAGGTCGCTGCGACACTGTTTGCGAGACCTGGTGATGCCGTGAATGTCGTTGGTCTGGCAGCAGCACCCCAGATAGCTGAGCAGTCTTTCGGTGTAAATTTTTGCCCTACGTACTGTGTCACCATGCGTCAGCGTGAGAGTCTCGGAAGATGTAAAAGTTTTGTACAATGATTGAAATGATGTGGGAGTGAGTAGAAAAGCTCGTTCGTTCTGAGTTGTGCTATATGGCCGCTGAGTAACTCAAATCATTCGGTCTATCGAACGTAAAATGGAATATGGCCGTTCATCATCGAGCAGATTACGTGCGTGGGGTTACAAGTTTGTGGAAGACTTACAGGATCGTCGCGTCCCGGGTCGCTGAGCCATACTTCTGGCGGTCGATCTGACCCATAGGTCGTTACCGCAAGCGCGCCGGTTGCTGGTAGAAAGGACAACGAGGAGACCGTGGACGTCGTTCGCGTTACCTCTTCTCGTGGGTACCAGGAGTAAATACTCTTTAGTGAAGATGAAGCGGGTAAGGTATAGTAATCCTCTGATGGGACGTATGGGCTCCCGCGATCTGCAGTCTGCCTGTGCACACTGTTCTCACCTTGGACTGTGTATATCGTATGATGTACTGGGTCTTTGGCAAAGAGTCGGAGTCCACATGGAGGTAGCACCTTTTCGGGACGTTGTTCAATACCGGCTGCGCATGCGTCAGGCCAAAGACCATGTATATAGCGTGACCGTCTTCTAAGGCCTATTTCTCTATCGATGTTTGTCTGAGCAAAGCTGTTCGGGTTGCGCCTGATGACTCGCTCCTTTTTAAGCTTATTGGAACGCGCGAGTGCGACATTCTGGATGCGCTCTTTTCTTTCTGTCTTCTTGATGTTTGCTGAAGAGTATTTGAGATTTGATCCCTGAGCTGCGGTTTGGTTTTGGATCCTGAAGTATTTCTTCTTCTCTGCGTCCCAGAAGTAGCCAGGTATTGGCTGGCCGTTCATCCTGGAAGTGTAACAGTGTAGAGGCCAGCGTTGGTCTCAAACATAAGGAGTGAAGGGATGTGTTGCGTGAGGAAGGATGTGCTGATTGGCGGAGTTGTCGACGCGTCCGCGGTTTAGTTCAGAAGAGAAACGCGCGAGTCAGGCACCGCGACGTTCTGATGTTTTCACGACTGCCTTATCGATAAGCCCGCTCGTCCGAGGCATGACGCCACTGCCCCATAACGTTCGCATCACTCCGATCAGCATCGAATGCGCCCATATGTGCCGCCATCTTCCCCTCATCGCCCATCCCTCCTACACCACTTGATATCCTTAGCAGCTCATGCTTCGAATCTCCACTGCGCTGCAGCCTACACGGAAAGCGATATCGTCGACGAAATACATCTGCAAGAACCCCTTCCACACTTTTATGCGCCTCAATCAAGTCATGGCGCACCTCGATATCCCACAGACGGCGAGCAACTCGACCAATGAACTTCACACGCTGCAGTCGCTTCCCAAATCGAATGTCTTCACATCCAACCTTCCCGCCGATGACGCCTTCCCCAGACCGAAAGACTCGCACGATGCGCCACGGCAGATGCTCGGACCGCGCATGGTCAAGGGAGCACTTTACACATATGTCCGACCCGACTCACAGGGCGAGCCAGAGCTGTTAGCAGTCAGTCAGCGAGCAATGCAGGATATTGGCTTGAAGGAAGAGGAGGCCAAGACGGATGAATTCAAGGAAGTCGTCGCTGGAAAGAAGATCTTGACATGGGACGAGTCGAACCCAGAGGCTGGAATTTACCCTTGGGCACAATGCTATGGAGGCTACCAGTTTGGACAATGGGCAGGCCAACTTGGTGATGGACGTGCCATCTCACTGTTCGAGTCTACCAACCCAGCGACCGGAACACGCTACGAGATCCAGCTGAAGGGTGCTGGACGGACACCATACTCCCGTTTCGCCGATGGTCGCGCAGTACTGCGATCTTCTATCCGGGAGTTCGTCGTCTCGGAATATCTCAATGCTATTGGCATCCCCAGTACAAGAGCGCTGGCGCTCACCCTGAACAATGGCAGCAAGGTCATGCGCGAACGCACAGAACCTGGAGCCATCGTCACACGATTTGCGCAAAGCTGGATCCGCTTCGGAACCTTCGACCTGCAACGCATCCGCGGAGACCGAAAGACCCTCCGCACAATCGCAGACTACACAGCCGAGCACGTCTACGGCGGGTGGGACAAGCTCCCCTCCAAGCTCCCCGCCGGCGAAGCCAAAGAAGTCCACTCCCAGACCCACACCGGCATCCCCAAAGAAACCGTCGAAGGCGAGAACGAAGGCGAAGAAAACCGCTACGTCCGCCTCTACCGCGCCATCCTCCGCCGCAACGCCGAAACCGTCGCAAAATGGCAAGCCTACGGCTTCATGAACGGCGTGCTGAACACAGACAACACTTCCATCCTCGGTCTATCCATCGACTTCGGTCCCTTCGCCTTCCTCGATACTTTCGACCCCACCTACACGCCCAACCACGACGACCACATGCTACGCTACAGCTACCGCAACCAACCCACAATCATCTGGTGGAACCTAGTCCGTCTCGGTGAGGCCCTCGGCGAACTCATGGGCGCGGGCAGCAAAGTCGACGAAGCGCAATTCGTCGAAAAAGGCGTAACAGAAGAAGAAGCAGACGGCATAGTCAAATGCGGCGAATCCGCCATCGACCGCGCAGGCGAAGAGTACAAAGCCGTTTTCCTCGCTGAATATCGCCGTCTCATGACGCTTCGTCTTGGACTCAAAACGCAGAAGGAGAGTGATTTCGAGGATCTGATGTCTGAGTTGTTGGATACGCTGCAGATGTATGAACTGGACTTCCATCACGCGTTCAGAAGACTGGGGAATGTGAAATTGAGTGAAGTGGAGACGGAGGATCAGAGGAAAGATGTTGCGGGCAGGTTCTTCCGGAGCAACGACGCGCCGAGGCAGGAGAGCGATGGAAGGGAGCGGATTGGGAAGTGGTTGGAGAAATGGTCGCAGAGGGTTAAGGAGGATTGGGGGGAGGGCAAGGATGAGGAGAGGAAGGTTGCTATGGATAAGGTTAATCCTAACGTAAGTTCTAACTTTTCCCGGTTTTGTCACTTGAGGCATAAGATGCTAACGAGATGCCAGTTCATCCCCCGCTCCTGGATCCTAGACGAACTCATCGAGCGCGTTGAAAAGAAACACGAACGCGAGATCCTTCCTCAGATCATGAAACTCGCGCTTAACCCCTTCCAGGAAAGCTGGGAGTGGGACGCAGAAGAAGAAGAGAGGTTCTGTGGTGATGTGCCCAAGTATAAGGGTATGTTGCAGTGTAGCTGTAGTTCTTAGATTCCGCCTACATGCGCCTGGCCAGGCGTTGGAGTGTACAAAATGAATTGAAGGCCTAGTCTACACCACCAACAAGATATTCGCCTACTTCCAGATTCACGCTTCTGCCCAGCGCACGTGCGTATTCCCAGCCAAAGTTTACGCGCCACCGTCCGCCTCCTTCTAGTGCGTCGTTGCTTCCTGCTCCTCCGGCTCTTACGAGTAACCTCATACTCGTCAATGTAGCTATCTGTGTGTATAAATCCGCTACCTGGGGCACGGTGCCTTCGAGCAGCGCTCTGAATATCGCGAGCAATCTGTCTAGAGTAAACGGGCTGGGCGTCAGCAGATGCCGACTGATCTTCCGATGCTTGGCTCCTGTGCGCTTGCCCGTGACGCTGAAAGATGCAGCACTGGGTGCGCGACGCTTGTTCTTCCGCTTGTCGGTGTGCTTCATGAAGTATGTGACGTCGGTACGCGAGGGGTTGTAGGAAGCTAGGTACGCGGCCAGGAGGATGTGGGTCGCGAAGTATGGAAGGGTGTGCGCCGTCATGTTCGCTGGCTTCTTCTTGCTGGGCGTCGCTGGTGTGGCGCTTGCTGGTGCTACTTCTTTCACAGGTTCAGCGGTATCTGAGATGATTCGATCCAAGACCGAGTCTTCAAGCTGGAACAAGTGTCGTCTGTTCACCATCAAGCGCGAGAAGTCGCGCGTGCCGAATTGTCCCGATACCACGGGCTCGACGAACGGACGCCAGAGGCGCATTGCGCAGCTCTTGAAGCTGATCAGATCTCGTCCGGTGTGCTTTGCCAGGGAATCGTAAACGGCTTGGATGAAGCGGCCCCAGAGCCACTGGTCGTCTTCGGCTGCGAGATCGGGTGTGTAGTCTGGGAATTGATCGAGGGAGGGCGGTTCGAGGAAGATCTTTGGTGGGTTGGCGCCGAGAATTGTGAGGAGTTCACTGCGGGCGTAGGATGGGAAGTGGAGGAAGGAGGCTGATGATGAGTGGAGGACGGAGGGCGTGAGTGGGAGGGTCGTTGTGAGGATGAGGGAGAGGTTTGGTATCTACTCGATATGTTAGCACGTGGCAGCTTGGTTCATACATGGTATGGCGTACCATCTCTCCCAGCCTTCCCAGCGCAGCAATCAACGTTCCACCCCCTTCTCTCAGTTTGTCTACCGCATCGAGTACCAAGACAAAATTCCCCCTGCCCGCCAACAGCTTCTCCATATTGACGCATAGCGCGCTTAGATTCTCCGTACGCGCATATGGTCTCCTATCAATCTTCTCGTCGTTGAACTCCTCCAGCGCATCCAGACTAGCTGCGACGATGCGCTCAAGGAGATGCCGCGCAGTTATGCATTCGCGAACGTTGATGATCGTGTGTTGTATACGAGAAAGATGGAAGAAGGAGCGCAATATCGAGGATTTGCCCGTCCCGGTAAGGCCATGGATGTTCAGAAAGGGTGGAGATGGGAGATGCGCCTAGGTTGCTGTTAGTACAATGGCCCGGAAGTCTGATGGGTGTACGGACGCTATAGAGGGCTGCAAGGTGGTGTATCTGCTGATCACGGCATTGGAATTCCGCGGCGAGCTGGGCGATGATCTCGTCGGGTAACATTGTCGCGATGTTGTTTTGGATGTTTGTAACCGCTGGCGGATTGAGGGTTGAGGAAGTCGCGCTAGCTTGGCGCCGAACGCGAGTGCACGTGCATCGTCCGCGACTTCCAACTCCTTGCTTCCACTCACATCCTCCGTCGTCACATCGCATACAAGGTCATGTACTCGACGCTCGCTTCAGCAAAGAAGGTCCGATCCATCTGCACGTAGATTGATCAACGAATGACAGCGCCGCCTCTACGTCACCCCGCGTATCGCCATGGGGGACGGCAAGTCCGCTGCCTGCAGCAGCAATGTGGCACAGCCTCGCCTCACATGCTCACTTGATCTGAGATGCGATGAACCCCGCACCTCGTCTTCCTCCTCGCACTGATCGCAGTACACTGAACATCATTCAAAGCTCACATGGAGACAGCTGCAAGCATCATAGCAGTGGTCCAGCTGTGCGAGACGGTGATCAAGTATATCGTTGCTGTCTCTGGAGCCAAACACGAGAAACAGCGCCTTCGTACACAGATACGAGACTGCAGTAGCTTGCTAAACAAGTTGCAAGATGAAACGGATGACCCTGAGAATGCCGAGGAATGGGACAGAATCTTGAAGCTACTTTCGACTCCGCTTGCGCACCTTCAAGATGCACTCCGTCTAGCAGCCGCTGCGTTATCCCCACGAGATGGGTTGCGTGAGAATTTGCGGTGGCCATTCAAAGAGAAGGATGTCGAAAAAATGATTGAGGCAATAGAGTCTGGGATGTCGATGGTGACTCTCGCTCTCAATTACACCACAACATCGTTACTTGTCAAAATCAGCGCTTGCTCAAAGCGCAACGAAAAGCATCTCATCGACCTGAAAAGTACTTTGAGTTCACGCATCCAAGAAACCCACTTGACGTTGCGGAGCATCAACGGTGAGCTGGAATCGATCCAAACTACCCAAAATGACGTTCGAGGAAGAGTTGAGGAGCTGCATGGGCGTCAAGATATGGAGGAAGCTTTGAGGAAACGTCAGCGCATCCTTGACTGGCTCACACCCATCGATCACGCTTCGGAGCAGAGGGACGCCATCAGTCGGCGGCAACGAGGTACCGGTGAATGGCTGCTGCGCTCACAGGCCTACCAAGACTGGCTCAGTACCGATAGTCGTACCTTGTTCTGCCCTGGTATTCCAGGTGCTGGCAAAACGGTCTTCGCGTCAATCATCAACGCTGATCTTTGGGAGCGTTATCATGATGACTCTTCGGTTGGCTTGGCTCATCTTTTCTGCAACTACCGGCGTCATAACGAGCAGACACTAGAAGCCCTACTCTCCGGTCTACTCAAACAGCTTGTCCAACACCAAGTTCCGTTGCCAGAGTGCGTCACCAGTCTTTACGATACACAACAAAGAGGAGCTTCGGATCGGATCGAAGCTACTACGGAGGCTCTTAGGACAGTAATGACAACATATTCACGAGTATTCATCGTACTAGATGCTCTCGACGAATGCTCTACATCTCAAGGCTGCCGCACAAGGCTGCTGTCAAGTATACAGAACTTGCAAAAGCATGGTCAAATCAACATAATTGCCACGTCGCGATTCATACCAGAGATCACGGAGAAGTTCAGAACAGCCTGTCAGCTGGAGATTCAAGCAGACAGCAATGACGTGCGGAAATACCTCTCTGACAATATATCTCGTCTACCAGGTTTTGTGCAAGATAATATCGGCTTGCGCGAAGAAATTGTGTCCAAGATCGTTGAGGCAGTGCGCGGAATGTATGTCGCTTCCTCCCAGGGGTGTAAATCCATTAACAAGACGTCAGGTTTCTCTTAGCCAAGCTGCACCTTGATTCTCTGATCGGGAAAAGATCCGCGAAAAAGGTTAAACTCGCCTTGAACGAACTTGCTACCGGATCCGACGCTTACGATTCTGCGTATGATTCTGCCGTGAAGAGAATCAATGGCCAAGTCTCTGATCAGGCAGAGCTCGCCAAGCAAGCATTGGCGTTTCTTACCTGCGCCCGAAGACCACTCTCCACAGAAGAGCTAAGAGAAGCCCTGGCCGTGGAGATTGGTGAACCGGATATCGACCAAGAGAACTACCCAGACATCGAAGACGTGTTAGCTTCGTGTCTTGGTTTGGTCACGGTAGACGAGGATAGTGGAATCATCCGACTCGTCCACTACACGACACAAGAGTACCTTCAGCGCACCTTGGATCGATGGTTTCCGGATGCGCAAGCCATGATAGCAAGCACCTGCATATCCTACCTATCTTTAGATCGATACGCCAACTCCGACCACTTGGAATTTTCACTGGACTCCAGCTGGTACACGTATTCGGCACGTCATTGGATCCATCATGCTCGCCTAGCGCCGTCGTGTCTGACGCAAGTGGTCAAATTTCTCACACGGCAAGAAAATGTCATCAAGAGCTCCTTCTATTCGCACCCATGGATACCAGCAAAAGACGTCTTTAAACGAGAATGTATCGTGACTCAACATCCTCAAGTCACTGGGCTTCATATGGCAGTCAGAGCTCAGCTAGAAGCTGCTACTTCCGCGCTGCTCCAGCAAGGTTTTGACGTGAACGCAAGAGATAGGCTAGGTCGAACTCCACTTATCGTTGCTGCACAACACGGGGGCGAAGCTATCGTAGAGCTCTTGCTCAAGTATGGCTCCTCTCTAGACTTGAGGACAGATGATTTCGACGATTCCGATAGCCTGGATCCCGATTCTGTCCATCCAGGGTCAACTGCGCTGCACTTCGCGTCGAGGAACGGATTTGTCGGCATTGTCAGAACTCTCCTTGCTCATGGTGCCACGGTGGACTCGAAAGACGCTAAAGATGCAACGCCTCTACATCATGCCATTATAAATGACCAGACAGAGGTTGTAAGGGTGTTAATCAACGCCAATGCTGACTTGTCATCGACTGTGTGGTCAGCGAAATACCGGTCTCTGCAGCAAGATGGATTCGAGACTTACTTGAAACGCCCCGCGCGAAGGTCACTGCTAGTGACAGCAGTCAAAGTCGAGTCCGTCAACATGATAAGTCTACTCATTGAGGCTGGCGTGGACGTCAATGAGCACGAAGAATTTTGGCTCTCCCCCTTATTCCATGCGGTGTCCCGCCTACGGGGCACTGCAATGATTGAGGTACTGACAAAAGCTGGCGCGAATCCCAACGTCTTGGACAGGCAAGGCTTATCGCTACTCATGGAAGCGTGCGGACGTAGACATTGGGATCGTATCGATGATGTTAAGCTCTTGCTTGACGCAGGAGCCGAGATTAACTACACGGCAAACGTATTTTTCCGGTCCGCGTTAGGGATCGCCCAATATGAAGGGAAACCCAATATTATACAGTATCTTGTCGAACGAGGGGCCGACTTAAAGCTTGGGATGGATCTCTATCAGATACCCATGTTCCATACGCGTCCAAAAGCGCCAAGACAATACTACATGTCGGACGAAGATATTCGAGAGATGAGATCAAAGTACCTACTTAGCGACGTTGCTACTGAGGGAAGCGCTTAGCTCTTGGATACGGTCGTGTTCCCCGTCGACAGCTCAGAAAATCAATGAGAAGACACCATCTGCTACTGAAGCAGGCGGTCAAGGATCTTCAAGCATAGCTTCATCAGCCTTTTACCGTTGACTGTTGATTGTTGACCGTTGAACGTTGACCGTTGAGCACGTACCACAGCTCGACTAACTACCTTGTCACTACACCATGCTCCTGTCCAGAAAGATCCTCTTCCATCTACCATGCGTGATGTGGCTGCATCCGTGTACAATGCGACCCAAGGTAGAGCTTTACCTTCTACACAGAATGTTACGACACGCACAATGCGCTGCTGCAGCTATTTAGTCCCAGGCCCCGCTGTCGGCATTCTAGCATTGAAGCGTTTCAAAGCGCGGGTTCGGCACCTCAAAAAGATGAAAACACTCGTTGATCAATCGTAGTCTATGACTTTACAGCTGCATGGAAAGACGCTATGTATTCAGGCCGGCACAGTACAGCGGTAAGCTATCTAAGGCGAGCGGCTTGTAGCAACCGCAGGTCCAATCACATTAAGAGAAGTCACGCATTCCAGGTGCGGTCACGAGCGATATTATATGTGAACGTTTTCTTTCATTTGCTATCGTACAGCTACTTCCTTCCTAACCCCGTATTCACGTTACTCATGTTGGTATAATCATCCCCTATAATCCCATCCCCATCGACAGTGTTAATCCAATACGCCGTGTCTATGCTTTGTATCCAATGCAGGTCAAGCGTGATGCACGCGTTTATGCATGCAATGTCTCCTTGAAGCCACTGTCGGCATCCGCAGTCTTGCCCTCCTCGTTGAACTCCCAGGCCAGGAACTTCCAGTTGAGCTCGCTCGGTCGCCAGAAGAGGCCTTTCTTCAGTCCGCTGCCCGCTGAGGAAGAGTCGCCTGGTCCGTCTGCTGTTATGCCGCCGGTGTGAGGCATGCGCTTGCCAAAGATGCAGCGCCGGAAGCGCGAGTGTAGGATGGCCATGGAGCACATGACGCAGGGCTCGTTGGTCAGATAGATGTCGAGATCTACGCACAGGTAGCCGCTGGATGAGAGGTTGTCCTTTTCGTAGTATAGCTTCTCGAGACCGGTGAGGGGGTTGTCGCAGAAGAGGGAGCGGTCGAGGAGTGCAGGGTCGGTGCCGGCAGCACGCAGCCGTTTCTTCGCAACCATGGCAATAGCGCGGTGGACAGCGTGAGCCATGACATTGCCGGTGCCGGTGGGCGGTTCAGCGGTGCCGGTGAAAGACCTCCAGCGGCAGTCGCCTGCAACCGCGACGATCTCTGGCTGGTTCCTGGTGCGGTCAACCACGACGACGCCGATCTTCTCACCCAAGCACTGATCCGATATCTGCTGGCCGGCCGCTCGGGCGAGAGCCAGCCAGTTGCCTGCCTCGGGTTGTAGTTCCTCCTGGTTGCGTTGTACGAGGCTCGGATGGGGACCGTAGGGGTTGGTGTTCTTGTACGAGATGGGCCAGTACTTGTCGCTCCACTCATCTGCCTGTCCTTGGGATATGGGCGCCAGGGCCGGCACGGTCACGTAGAGGATCCGAGGGAGCGCAGTCTTGGGGCCGTCGAAAGGCGGACAGGTCCGTATCAGAGCCGCGAGGTTGGCGTGCGGCATGTGGCGCGTGGGGCACAGCAGGAAGTAGCGGACTAAATCAAAATCTTTAGCATCAGCCTCTCCATGAGCAGCCTCACTGCCAGCATCGACGGAGGACGGGGACGCGGAAAGGGAAGCGGGGGTCGCCGGTGTTAGTGGGGAAGATGGTAGTTCTGAGGCAGGAGCATCTTCGTTACCCCTGGGGAGCCTTGCAGGCGGATAGAACTGTTTCTGCAGGTGCGGCGGTAGGTACTTGAACTGCACCACGCGGCGCAGGTGAGAGATCTCCGACGTCTTGAAGTCGGGCAACGCTGCTTGCACGGCACTGCGAGCGGGCGACGTTAGCAGAGATCAAGCGGGAGCCCCAGGAGTGAAGGCCTCACTCCTTGATTACGTTGGCAAACTTGGCCGGCACCTCGACGACATAGACTTGGTGAGTCTCCAGGCTGGCGCGCACCTCGTCCTTGGTGCGGAGGGGGACCAGATGGCCTGCGAGAGGCGGTGGGCTGCTCATAGCATCGCCTGGCGGGGGAGTCAGTGTTGAGGGCAGCTAAAAGGCTACTATGCGTCGTATAGGCGTCGGCTAAGAGGTTGGTGGTGGGATGTTGGTAAGTCGGAGCCTGAAGCCTGCGCAAAGACAACAAAAGTCTCAGGGTCCAGCGGGGCGAGCCTTCTTAACTCCGGTTGACCCTTCCTCTTTCATCACCATCACCTCCTCGCTCCTCACCAGCCCTCATCATATAGCAGCAACATGTCGCGATAGAACCTCACCCATGGAGTGAAAAGGAAAGAGGAGGAGGCGTCTCGGGGTAAGGCGCGCAGCTCCCGACTCGTGGGCGCGCCTCCCCGCATCACGTTGCAGCGAAGGAGCGCCAATCTTCACCCAATATGGGGCCCCGCATCATCTCCTCCCGATGATTCGGTAAACATCATCCAAACGCGTCGTGAGAGGACCTCAACCCCAGCATCCAAATCTGCCGATATGCATGGCGTTGGAGCTCCAGCCCGCTACCGCTCATCCCGTTGTCAGAATCCCCCGGCCAAGAGCCCACGGCATGATGCCCCACTGTGGTATATGTGTAGTGATATGGGATGCAGACCTCGCCCACCTTGTCTTCTTTCTCGACCTAACTTGGCAGCCGGTGTAGACAGCCATGGACAGCAAGACGGGAGCTACTCATATCGAAACCGCCCACGGTCGCGACGCCCACATCGTGCCCATCGACCAGGAAGCCAATGAGGACGTCCATCATGTCAAGCTCTCCTGGAGGTCGTGGATGGTCGTCTTTTGCTGTTGCTTCGCGTGAGTGGCGCGCAGTCTTTTGCGTGGCCTTGCTAACTTACAATGTAGCGTCATGTCTCAAGTCTTCGTTGTAGTGGCTGCGGGATCAGTACTGTCGTTCATCATCCGCGAGCTTGGAGAACCTGCCATTGCAAGCTGGATCATCCAGGTACAGCAGACCTAACAAAAGACTTTAACACCGAATTCTAACACTCTACAGGGTCCCCTACTCATGCAATCAGTCCTTTCTCCTCCGGTCGGTCGCCTGTCTGATGTCTTGGACCGCAAGCTGTTCGCCACCATACCCCCATTGATCGCATGCATTGGTTCCATCATCTGCGCCAAAGCTACGAGTATGTCCATGCTGATTGGAGGCGGTATTCTCATTGGCACGACACTTGCGACCATTTCAATTGTTCAGTCTATCCCGTCGGAGATTCTGCCTTTGAAGTATCGACCTTTAGCGAACGGACTCGCAGGCGTTGCCGGTGTGTTGGGCGGAACGTAAGTAGACACCTCGCGTAAGTAGATGCATTTGACACGTACTAAATCTGCGCAGTGTCGGCAGTCTAGCAGCTGGTGCGGTTACGAACCTAAGTGCTTCCGGCTGGCGCTACATCTTCTGGATCCAAGTCGGCCTACACGGCATCACATCCCTTGGTCTGTTCGCATTCTACTGGCCAAAGAAACGCACCGACTATCCACGGATGGGCTTCAAAGAGTGGATGTGGGCTTGCGACCCCGTTGGCTCCCTTCTTCTCGTTGCTGCTGCTACCTTGATGCTTTTGGCGCTCAACTGGGCAGGAGGCGCGTACCCGTGGAGCAACGCGCATGTATGCGCCAACCTAGTTGTTGGCATTGTTCTCTTCATCGCCTTTTGTCTCTATGGTAAACTACCCTTAGGTACCTTAAGTTTGAGTCAAAAGCTGACATGGTACAGAATGGAAGGGCCGATCTGATGGCATCGTCGCGCACGTCTTCTTCTCCACTGGACCTAACTTCTGGCTGTCGACCTTCGCCTTTGCTATCGAGGGATGGATCTACTATTCTGCCATCAACGCTGTTACACCACAGCTCATCCTCAATGTTGGTTTTGAAGACAACGCATGGGATATTGCCATTCGACAGCTGTCTTACAAGATTGCATCTATCTTCACATCTCTTGCTGTGACATGGTACGCGACAAAATTCAAAGACATGAGTAAGCAACATGGCATTCTTCTTCACACCCTCCACTGACAATCATGATAGAAACGCCGCTGGCCGCCACCTTCGCCATCATGTTCATCGCCTCAATCTGCTTCGCCTTCATCCGCCCCGGCTGGGCAACCGAACAAATCGTCTTCACAGCTTTGACAGGTATCGGCTGCGCAGGCCCGCTCACACTCCTTGTCGCATGCATCCAATTCACAGCTCCCCACGCCTTCCTCTCCACAGCCACCGGCCTCGCCTTCTCCGCACGAGCCATCGGTGGCGCTTTCGGTACCGCTGTCATCTACGCCATTGTAAACTCGCGCGTCGCTTCTCACCTCGCTGGAGACGTCAGTTCTGCCGCTATTGCTGCGGGCCTACCTGAGTCCTCCGTGCCTGCGCTTCTCAAAGGCATGAAAGGTAGCTCGGCGTCTAAGTTCAGAGGCGCAGGCGTACCTGGCGCAAACGAAACTATTGTCACTGCTGCGTGGGACGCGAGCCATTGGTCCTACGCGCGTGCGTATAGACTGGGATATTGGAGTGTGGTGCCGTTCGTTGCGCTCGCAACCATCGCCGTGCTCTCTATGAAGGGTATCAAACATCTCATGACTGAGCATGTGGAAGCGACTGTTGAGCGGGAAAGCGATGATGAAGGGAAGGGTTTGGGGAAAGCTTAGATGACCAAGACACTGCTGTACACATAATACACAGGATCCATAGCCCGCGATCCCGTATTCAACATACAATACAACGTCCTTCCTCTGTCCATCATCTCATTCCACCTTCCCTCCCAATCACGCTCCCACCAACACTGGCACCAACACCCCCTAAGATCTCCATAAAACGACTTCTCTTCTCTTTCTTCTCTGCCCTCCTCAACCCAAAGCCTTGTGTCCCTTGCAGTTCGAAGAGTCGGTCCCATTGCTCCAGCCAATCTACGCCTCGTGGTGGCGCGGGTTTGCGTTTTATCAGAGGGGCGAAGTGAGGGAGAGAGGGTGAGGAGGGGGATATGTGGTAGGGGCGTTGGAGTAGCGGTGGTGGGGAGGGCGAGGGTGATGGTGAAGGAGGGGGCAAGGAGGGGGCTTGGTGATATCGATTAGTGTAGGGAGTTGGTGATCTGGGTTCAGGTACTCGAGGACGTGATTTTGGAAGGGGTGCGAAGGTTAGGTTACGGGTTGGGTGCGTGGATGGGAGGGGTGTGCCGGGGCGGACGGAAGGTGGTATGAACTCTAATGGTGAAGAGGGTCGAGAAGTAGATGTAGAGGTTGGAGATAGAGGCGAAAAAGATCGTGGTGGAGTTGATGGGCGTCTTGGTGTCTTGACTGGACGCTGAAAATCGGCATTGTCTGTGGGATAAGGTGTGGGCGCGAGACATTTCTCGATCGGGTCCGGTGTTGAGACCGACCCCAGTACTGGCGGGAGACGACCTAGACATTCCAGAACTAGATCTTGTGTACTGGGCACCTGGAGAGGTTCAGGTGTCGGCGGCAGGGGCTTGTCAACGTCTATATCGGGAGTCAACGATCTTGTTGAGGGCCGGGGGCTCCGTAGGTTCTGAGACCGTACGGTGGAATCTTGATGATGAAGATCATTTTCGTACATGTTGTGTAGTGACGGGATTTCGAGTTGCGATGCGAGCTTGTTTACCTGAGGTCGACGCTTTCCTGTCGATGGACGGTGCTTGGTGGCGGGAATCTTTGGTGACTTGTCTATTGTCGAAGGGGTCATTGTTTTGCCCAAATACTGTGCTGCCATGGCATTTAGTTCCGGATCATCGTCAATACTCCACTTCTTCCCTCCCACTGCGTTTACCTTGTCCGTCTGCTCAAACTCGCCAGCCCTTCTATGCCTATAACACACTCCGTCATCATGGATATGATACTCGCATCCCTTCACATCACTACTTCCCGTCACGATATCCTCCACAGAATTTCGTAGCATACCCAGCATTCTCCTATCATACGCGAACATCTTGTCCGTAACAAACTTTCGCAGTAATGTCGACGCGTGCTTTTCCAAATACAGCATTTCGAGAATCTTCTGATCGAACGTTTGCGCGGGGTCAAGAATAGACGCTAGCTTGTCGATGATGTAGTCTTGGAAGTACGGTTGCGAGAATGTGGAGCCAACGATGTGCGCGTAGATCAAGTCGACGCAGGAGTCCAGCTGGAGGGATCGTTGATCAGAGAACTTGACAATCCCGGATGTGAGCCATTCGATATAAAGCTTGAAACCCGCTGGATCGATGTCGCCGAGCTGAATGGGTAAGAGAGGTCGGTCATCGCGCACATGGTGTGGAAGATAGATGCGAAGGTACGGCGAGCGTTCAGCGACGGCGAGATCGACTTCGACGTGCTCCGTAGGGCAATGCTCTGACAGTGTTGTTCGACCTGCAAGTACGAATGTTACCGAGTTTAAAGATGCCCTAGCCGAAGACATGCTGGGCTCGCGCTGCGAAGTCGTTGTGTACATGCCGAGCGACAGGATATCGCGAAGACGATGAAGACATAATGAGTGGGCTTCATACTTGGCTTTTTTGTCGTAACGTTAGCATGGATTGTTACTTCGACTCTAAATCACTTCCAGTCATAGCTAGGCGGGCGGTGACATCAGCGGTCAACGTAAGTGCTCGTTTGCTGGTAGTAACGTGACGAAACTGCCGATGACAAACAGTCGCACGCTTCTTCACACCAAGGCTGCTCGACATGACCAAACCTCGTCCCTCGATACTGACAACTTACAAAGCCCTGCTTCCTGGTTGGACACTGATCACCGTACCATTGCACCATCCTTGAAAGATCGTGACATCCTCCACTCTTCGACATGGGAAACCTCTTTACCGACAAAATGTCATCCTCGGAGAAGCGCGACATGCAAAGAAGACTCGAGCGGGGCAGCATGCCTCCGCGTATACCAACAGGCTTTCCAGGAGTCAATCCAGAAGGTTACCTAAACTCTGGAACACCACGATCGTCGCAATCCCATAGCCGTGTCCCGGTTAGTCCAAGAAACCAGAAACCTAGGAACGTCGACCGCATTTTCGATGGGAGTGAACATATCAGCGATACGGGTCGCAAGTTTCGCCGTCGGCCAAGCATCGAAGCGCGCACAAGAAAGAGCGATTATCATACGCTGCTTGAAGGCGGGAGCCTGTGGAGTGATGACGAAGTCATCGATGATGTTGACACGGACGTGCAAGGACTCGTACAGTCAGAACCTGTGAAAGAAGAGTCATCCAACACACAGCGAGTACAACTGGCACCGCCAATACTAGATGCGGCTGTGGATGCACCGAGACAGTCAATGTTCAGCGTACTATATGGCCATCAGAACCCGGATTCCTGGTACTTGACACGGCGCTTGGCTCGGTTGTCTGCTGTCAACATTAATACCGAATTCGATTCGACTACTCTGCTTAGACGCCGTAACATTGACGCTGATGCAGCGGAACTGCATCAAATATGGCGACGCACTGGCGTTATTCCAACCCGCTACCGCGACGTCAACTTCGACTCAGACGGTATCGACCCGCAACACACGTGGATCGCGTGCTGGCCATTAATCAATGCAGCGATACACGGCTACGTGATCGAGGATGTTGAATTCGTTGACCGCGTCATGGACATACTCGAGGACAAGGTAGTGAAAGGCGTACGACCGGACATCGATACTATCTCGCACATATTTGGCGAGAAAAGACACAACATGCCGAAAGCTCTAGGCCGTTTTCTAGTCGATCGATGGGTTGACAACGCGACAGAAGGATTTGGCGACGTCGACCCGTCAGACTTGCCGCAGCCCTTCCTCTTTTCCGCGCTTGAGACAGCTATGCGACGCCTCTCAAGCGACAAAAGGTCGTCGCCGCAGCTGAACTGTCAGTATCATACGCATGCGAAATCCGAGGAGTGCTACAAGCAGAGAATCGCACCTGAGGAAGCAAAAAGACAACAACGCTACAAGTACCGTCGCGAGAAAGCGAGTCGCGAAGCTGAGCAAGTTGCTGCAGATTCAATGGAATGTGGCATTGTGGTGGTGGACTGGGAAGGGCGAAGACTTGAGCAACACAGGAGGCTGCGCGACGAAAGTGATGCTTCTCTGCCTGCTTTCGATGACCGGATAGGAATTGCAGACCAAATGCACAAGGCAGGTCCTTCCGACGGACTTGATGTACTAGACGACACAGACGCGAATAACCAGCTCAACGCGAAATCCTCGTCGTCAATATTCGGCACGGCGCAAGCTGCCGGCCCCGTCGACGAGGTGAAGTTTGCGCCACCAACACGCGAGCCACCGCAGATGCCGCCATCGCCAAACGCTCGCGTCGGACGCGATGACAGCGCTGTTGAAGGCGACCAGGCCTATGAACGACTTTTGATGGATCAGAAAACCCAGTTCTCGTTGTTTGACGGCGCGATGCAGGCTGTGAAGATCGAAGGTAATAATAGTGAGTCAATCGCGTTGGGCGCACCTGCCATGCCGCAACACTCACACGCGAACGCACGGACCGTCTCAGGGGAGAGTCCACGCCGAAGAGAGCGCAGAACACGCCCCGGATCATTCCCGGAGTCGAGATATGAGAGTTTGAATAAGACTGATGTCGCGTAGCTGACATGTTTGGATTTTGTGAGCGTGATCTAGTGTTGGTTAGAGAGCGAGCGCGTGTTGGTCACACAAGACAGAATGTGTGAAATCGGCTGTTCGATTGCTAGGTGTTTATGACAATGTACTTAGTTTTAACGCGGTCTTAAGACGTTTTTGAACTGCTCAGAAGATGGCAATGCCGTTGACGTGTGAGCTTACTCCGCCTATGATTCTGTTAGCGATTGCAAGAGCTTATCAATCCAGGTGTTCAACGTACCTGGGCAGTTAGCAGGCGCAGAGGTGAAGAAGAAGAACCATCTGTTCTTCTCGCGGCACGTTTGCGCAAGCTTCTCGAGATCCAGCATCTCACCGAGCGGCATCCCCCAAAGGGCGAGGATGTACTCGTGGAGATGGTAGTCTAGCAGCGTCAGTTTGATGTTGCACGTAAATTTGATGAAACGTACTCTCATGTGTAGGCCACGCCTCGAAGGCAGGTGCATCACCAGCGACAGACGCGAAGTAGCTATCATGCAGCCAATCCAAAATCTTCTCTTCCTGGCTCACACCCGCATACCGCTGACCATCCTCACCATCCTTACCGCTACCATGTCGAAGAGCAGCCTTGCTTCGATCCTCGTCACTCTTGCTATCGTACGCCTCCTTCCATCCGCTACGGATGAACAGCATATCTCCAGGCTTGATGTCACCGCCTTGAGCCGCGGGGCGAATATCGATTCCCTGGTCTTGGCCGCATTGGTAAAGGTCCTGCCACGAGATGGGGTAGTAATCGTAAGGGTCGTAGTTGATACCCTTCTTGTGTGCGTAGCCCCGGTAGTCTAGAAGGATACCGCGACCTGCGATGCCGTGCTCGGCCCAGTGGTGGATGGAACACTTGTGGTTTGCGTTTGGGCCTGTGACATCGCTTCCTTTCGTCTGCACTGGATGTCAGCAAAGGTTCGTAGTGATGAGTCTGCATACATACGCCATTATAGAACGAACCACTGGGAATGTGAGCGAAATGTCGGAAGCCATCCCATTGCGTGCCGGACTGGGTGTTCATGTGGTACACATCGTCGTAAGCAATGCCTTCCGCTAGGGTCTTGATTTCATGCTGAAAAACCTCACGACCAAACGCGGGAACATTCGGCACATTGAGAGGCAGGCTACATCGCGGTCAGCAATGACATATCAGAAGGATCATGAAAACACGGACTTAACAGGCACGATCTCACCCGATCGTATCTCCCTCGCAGCCGCTGCGACACGTGTAGGCGTAAGGAGATTGAGACGGCCGATCTACATCTGATCAGTTCGGCCCGCAACTAGATTAGAGTTCGGTCGAACATACGTAGTCGCTGTCACCCCAAACCCACGCAGCCTCCGGTGGGGCACCGGGGATCTGAGGTAGTTCTTTCCTTGTCGGAAATTTGGTACTATCTGGATCCCACGGTATGGTCGTTGCTGTTTTGTTCAGAGTGAGAAAATCTTTGATCTGCGTCAAGCGCTGACTGGCAGTAGAGGTCTTCGGGTCGGCCATGGTCGTGAGGAAGCGGCAATCGGGCTTTGTCGGTTTTTGATATGGTAGTTGCGGGTTTTGCAACGTGTGAATAGTTCGTCTTCAAGGTATCCCTAGATAATCAACGATAGCTCTCTCGCTGCTATGACGTTTACCCCGCATTTCTTGGAGCTGGTGGAGCCGCTCGGGCACCGAGGCATTTGTGGGGTCGCAGCTCTTCCGCCCTGACTACCGGCGACCGACTCGATCATTCAACCTCACGATGTTTCATTGACAACATGCTAGCATACTTTCTGCACGGTGCCGTTGCTCTCAAAATATGTTTGAGCGCGTAGAATTGTCATGGCTGTGGCGCTAGCCCACGTAGGTTGTTGGTGGAATTATTGGGGTGGATGACGTAAGGCGGCTAATCACCACTCTAGCCGTAGCGTTTCCAGAATCCCAAGATTGCCACCTGGGTCACTCTTGGCCAAAAGCTTGTCGTATGGTCAAGAAAGTCTTGTTCACTGCGGAGAGTCTTATGTTCAACATCAAAGGTACCTGAGCGTAGGTGCGATCAGTGATGCCAGTAAAAAGACGCAGTGTCTATTGGAGGATCGCCAGATAGACTCGTATAGTCAAACAGCGTCAGGGTACGCACTAAGCTCTGACCGTCGCGTCGTATACCACGCTTCCGGGATCATGGCTAGATCGGCATGTTGTAGGTTTCGTCGCTGTACGGCGGAGCGGTACGTACTACACCCATAAGCTTCGCCTTTCATTCAAATACCGCTCGGGTAAAACTGTCGATACCCAAACACCGTGAGCTTTACTCACTTCGTCAGCGCAATCAACAACCTTCTCGGTCTGTTGGTGTCCGAGCCGTCGATTCAGGCGAAGGGTCGTCCTCCGTGCGGACGATTGGCGCATCACGAGTGCCTCCCTTATATCGATTTAGCCGGTTGCTATCATGACACCGTCTTATGGCCGGGCCATTGGTCGCAACAGCTCGCATCAGCACAGTCCGCGAAGAGGCGCGGAAGCAACAGTGCATCCTTCTAGTGCGCGCAAAGTTGTTGGAGGGATAATTCTAGTCCGTTGCGCCGTTGGACCGGCTCCCGTTGGCGTGGTTCGCGTCGCGTTAATGAAGCCATATAAACTCCGACCCCAGAGTTGTACCCCAGATTGTAGCTCATCCCCAGATCTCTTCTCTACCCCATCTTTCTACCCACTGTTCTTGCGACATGGCTTCCGCGGACGAGAAACCGAGCGCTATCGGCATGGAGCACGTGTCCGACACCTCCATCGACCACGCCGTGGCGTATGAGGAGGGCAAGGAGGCTGGCCTAAGCGAGGCTCATAT